ACCACCACTCAGAAATGTCCAAGCTGTTTTTGCCATCAGGGGCGCTCAGGTCCCTGCCAGACCGCAGCTCCGTATGTCTCCTTTTTTGGTATTTTCATGCAAATTCTTCTGCTAGTTGGGGTTTAGTCTACTTCTGTATCCTTCCCTTCAAGGCTCACGGGTCGAAGATTATCTTCTGTGTCTGTGTCAATTGATTTCCCTTTTCTTTGTTGAGGAGGGTCTGTGCAGTACTTCTGCCTAGTCCGCCATCTTGCGGGAACTCCCTCATGAGTCCAATTAACTGTTCTGGGTTTCCCATTCTTTGCAATGTTATCCATTATTTGTTATGATCCACACAGTCTAATGCCGTTATGTAGTCAATAAAACACAGTTAACCATCTCTGATATTCTCTGCTTTCAGCCAAGATCCATCTGACATCAGTAATGATATTCTTTTTTCCACATCTCCTTTGACCTTATGGTTAGCAGACTTATCCACTATGTCACCAGAAAATCAAACCAAACTCACTGCTGTGGAGTTGAATCTGACTCATAGCAACCCCTCCTTGGGTTTCTGAGGCAGTTTCTCTAGGGGAGTAGATTGCCCAGTCTTCCTTCCGAGGAGTGGCTGGTGGGTTTGAACCACCAGCCTTCTGGGTAGCAGTCAAATGCCTTAGGCATTATGCCCCCAGAACTCCTTTGAATTCTGGCAGTTCCCTGTAAATGTACTGCTGCAACTATTTCTGAATTCTCTTTAGCATTGTTTCTGTCACTGAAGCCATATTTTCCAGCTACCCATTCTTCTTTGTTTCTAACTTTCTCATTCCAATCACCAATATTTACCAGTGTGTCCTGATTGCATATTTGATCAATTACAGACTACAGAAGTTGGCAAAAGTCTTCAATTTCTTCATCTTTGGCATTAGTGGTTGGTGTGTAAATTTGAATAATAGTCATATTCACTAGTCTTCCTTGTACGTATATGAATATTATTCTATCACTGACAGTGGTATACTTCAGGATAAATCTTGAAATGTTTATTTATTTATTTATTTTTGATGAAAGTTACACCAATCCTCTTTAGTTTGTCATTCCCGGCATAATAGAACATATAATTGTCCATTTCAAAATGGCCAGTACCAGTCCATTACAAGCTCACTAATGCCTAGGACATTGATCTTTATGCATTTTATTTTATTTTTTATGACTTCACAGTTTTCCCAGATTCATACTTCATACATTCCACATTCCAATTATTAATGGATATTTGCAACTGTTTCTTCTCATTTTGAGTCACGCCACATCTGCATCAGTTGGTCCAGAATGCTTTACACCTTCTACATCATTAAGATTGACTCTACTTTGAGGATGCAGGTCTTCCCCAGTCATATTTTGAGTACCTTACAAACTAAGGGGCTCATCTTCTGGCACTATAGCAGACGATATTCCACTGCTATTCATAAGGTTTTCACTAGCTTTTTTTTTTTTTTTTAGAAGTAGATTGACAGGTCCTCCTTTCTACTTTGCCTTATTCTAGAAGTTCTGCTGAAACCTATCCACCATGGATGACCCTGCTAGTATTTGAAATATCTGTGGCATACCTTCCCATATCACAGTAACGTGCAAGCCACCACAGTACAACAAACTGACAGATGAATGGTGGTTATCTCTTATTAAAGAATTATATTTTCTAATCATGTCTACCAATTCTGAAATGACACGTATCTTCCCTGTGCACTGAAAATGAGAGGTAGTGTCAAAACATTATTTCTTTCACTTACACATGGACATAGTATATATATACATGCTCCTTGTTTGTAGAGTATTTCTTGCGCTACTCAGGCCCAGAAGGAGTTATGTTTATAGGAGAGAAAAGAGCTTATGTAGGGTATGGTGCTTCAGAACATTGTTAGACCTTTTGCATTCTCAACTCCATAAGCTTCCTTTGGAATACACAGAAAAGATATATTTAACAGACTCTCACTGGTTGTAGAGTAACAGGGACCATGAGCTGTTGTAGAATTAGGCAGTACATAAAATTTCTTATTTGTTTTCCAGTTAAGAAATTACATGGCTTTGCCATTATTCCTAGAAGTAGATGTGTTCTATTCCTTATGCTACTTTATTGTTTGTTTTGCAGATCCATTGTTTACTGTATCAAGTGAGAAAGACCATGCACAGGCAAATATCCAAGTCACCCTGGTTCGAAACAAACTGGTAGGTCTCATCCACTGAGCAGCCTAATGAACTTGAACTATGTAGTTTGGCCAAATGCATTGATCAGACTGAAAAATCTCCAGATCTCCATTGGATTTTGTGTTCTGCAGAAATTACTTTGCCATGATTTCTAGAGAGTAAGATATTTTGATACTTGTGGCCCAATATGAGGATAAATTAACTAGTAGGGAGTAACAGACTCATTACAGATGAATTTATTTTAATGGTAAAGTAATATATACCTCTGTTAAAATAATTCAAGTAGTACAAAAGCAGTACAAAAGCACCACAGTGCGATGAAAATTCTTACTCCATACTCCAGCTTGTCACTTCCTCCATATAAACAGCCATTGCATCAGCTTCTTGAATATTCTGCTATAGATCTTCTGTACATATCAATAACCCTTTCACTGCAGTATGCAAGGAGTCCTGATGGTACAGTGGTTAAGTGCTTGGTTGCTAACTGAAAGATTGGAGGTTTGAACCATGAGACAAAAGACGTAGAATCTGCTCCAGTAAAGATTACAGCCTATAAAACTTTATGAGGCAGTTCTACTCTGTCATGTAGGGTCATATAGGGTCATGTAGGGTCACTATGGGCTGGCGGTTCAAACCCACCAGCCACTCCTCGGAAGGAAGATGGGGCAATCTACTTCCGTAGTGATACTGCCTCGGAAACCCAAGGAGGGGTC